ATAAAGTGGTATAAATGTAAGAACTTTATTTTAGGTGGTAGATATGTAAACCAATAGCAATTGTGTGATGCATGTAACTTTCTTATAATTTTATATCGAAATATATTAAAATTACACAGCGATTATCTTTTTTATTGGTAATTATTTTAAATTTTTGTTTAATTAGTGGTATTAGAAGTCAACGAGGTTTTCCAAAATAAACTCAAAAGGATATGGTATTATGAGCATGAATTTCTCCGAGGAGATGTCGGTGAGCAAAGACTTTAGAATGCGTCGTCCGATCTCCACCGTTGATCAGGTCAAAGTTGTATTTCAGTGGGCCAATTTTTTTTTAAACAAAAAAAATGATGAAAGCTCGGATCAACGGTGGAGATCGGACGGCGCATTCATCTCTGCATATGCCGGAAAAGGAGAATTTTATAAATCTTGTGTATTTACAAATCTAACACCTAAACTTTTTCTTTTTACATTTATACCACCCAAATCTTTTCGATCACGTCAAAAAAATCACTATTTAAACTCATAAAAAATGAAATACAGATTTTCATACACTCTGTTTTCATAGATATGTAAGGAGGTGTATATGTAAAAATTAAAGTTGAAGTGTTAGATGTGCAAATACATAAGATTTGAGGGGCATTTATGCAAATTTACCTAAATTTTATTATATTACATAAATAATATTTTTTTTTAAATAGTTGTTATTTACAATATTATTGTCTTCATTGATTGATATCTAACAATTATATATTGTACATTTCTTTTTTTTTTTTTTTTTTCAGTTGAAGGTATATTCGTAAATACAAGTGAGAGAAAGGAGAGGGTGATCCATCTTCTAATCACACATTTGATTTGTGCAGCCAGAATAATGGTGGCAATAATACTCTATCATGTAAGTTTAATCAATTCAAAAACTTCATTAATCAAATGTTATAGTTAGTTAATTCGATAACACTGTTTTAATTATACTTTAATTACATATTGCACCCTAATAATCAACCAAATTATTCATAAATTTGCTGCATGGCAACAATACATTGATTTCGCAGAATATTAATTTGTGAAAATAATTACACATCTAACAACTCAATTTCACTTTTTATATTCATACCATTCAATTTTTCTTATATCAAATAAAAACATCATCATTTTAACTTTTAGGGTCTGTTTGGGACAGTTCTGTGTCTGTTCTGTTTGTTGTCTGTTTTAATTTATAGACCGACATCATAGTTCTGTCTGAAGAATTACTTTGGTGTTGTTTTTTAGAAATCTTTATGATTAAAGTTATTTTTTTCAATTGAAATGTTAAAGAGATGTGGTTGTTAGAAGTCAATGAAGTTACTTTTTTTTTTAAATAAAATAAATTTATAATAGTCACCGCCGCCTTTTAAAAAACAATTTCTTCTATAGCAGTCTCATAACTGTTGTTTCAAACAGTTCCACCCTTAAAAAGTGAAAAATACATTTTCATAAATAAGATGGTATATATATATATATATATATATACATATACTGAAAAGTAGTGTTTTAATTTTTGATAATACGAAATCTATCTGATTAAATAAACGAGCACAACACTACAAGCCATGCATCTATTCCGGAGAATAGACACATTATTTGATAGTAAGACTCGATTAAATAAACTAAAGAATATATGACATCTGTTTTAGTCTGTGAAAACTTTATGTTGACACAAATTCCCCATCTAATATAAAAGATTAGATAAGGTTTATATTAAATTGGGTTCCAAAGTTTCTAATAAAGGCAAACCCCTATGTTAAATACATCTCAGATAATCAAAATCACCTAAGAATGAGTGTATTATGTTTGTTCATTATTTTGAAAATGTAAATTTAATATTGAAAATGTTTTTGTGGTTTTCAGTTTTGGTTTAGTTTTGCATATAAAGTAAATAAACGCGGGCAGAAAATATTGTAAGGCAAATAAATAAAATTGTAAATGCATAAAATGTAAATGTGTACCAAGGTCTCTACTACCGCTGAGTTAGCCTCATAAAACATAATATATTTGCAGGATAATTAAATAAATTACAAGAAAATAAACAGGTGCATCCAGTACGAAAAAGTCGGAAAATGAGTCATAGAAAAACATGAGCAAGTAAAAGAAAACCCGTAGTCATATATGGAAGACCAGAACTAGGTGTAAGCATTGGTAAATGTGGGGGGTTCAGAGCTAGACTGTGTGTTTCCCATCCTTGAATGAGAGCTACCAACTCGACAATCTACGGAGGACAGTCCTAACCTCGATCCAAGTGATTGACCGTGGACCTTTATAAATTTTCATTTTAAATTTAGTTTTCATGCATTTTGAGTTTACTTTATCAGACAAAAGAAATTTTATTTTTGTAAATACTTTGCAAAGTAGTGTAGTCCATAGGTTAATTACTTTTATCGAGCTAAGACTACAGGCAACCTAAGAGTATTAAAAGCAACAATCTCATCAAGAGTTGGCGAATAGTACCATCAGTTCTTATCCTCTCATTTCATTGAATGTACTTGAGGTAAGAGATATTATTCTAAATCTCATGTCGTATCCTTTGTCTTAGCACACATTAGCTTTATCGCCATCACCCTAACCACCTAGACCTCGTACTTACAAAAGTTTAATGATCCGTGTGTAGCAAAAACCAAATATTCTTAGTTGCTCACAATGATTTGAATACCATAAAGAAGACTTAAATCCTTGAGCATTGGGTTAATTAATATAGGATAAATAGTGTATCACATTACTTGGTGAATTATTGGGTCTCGAGGAATAACTTGGTGGGTCCCTAAAAGTCTTAATGGATAATTTTTTTGAACAAAGAATAATAAGTTTAATTATCCTTCAAAATATCCAAAATATCATAAAAATGTTTTGGGTGTAGCCCTAACAACTTTTAAAACCCCTTGAACCATTTCGAGTTCATTTGAACTTATTATATTATTCAATTTGAACTTATTATATTATTCAATTTTTTTGGAATACATTGGGTAGTGTTGCATTTTCTTTCTGATAAAGCCCGGAAACACAGGAACATTGGTGGAGATTTTCATGGAATGAAAAATGTTAGTTATAGATATCCATTTCTTTTCTTTATTTTACGCTTGAAAATTGGGTTTCCTCCATCCTATGGTTGTAACGGATGCTTTCTCCATTAGCTACAGTTCATGGTTCATGTTTTTGCCGAAGTGGCTTGATCCGCAGCCTCTGGTTTTTTTTTTTTGTTGCAAAATTGCATCGTATTTGGATTTACTTTTTAAGATGTCGTATAGTTTGCGGTAGAATTGAACGGTCACTTATTAATAGCTGCATTGACGCATGATATTATCCGATGCTAATTTACTCCCAAAAAGTCATCTCAAATGAGCCTCAATTTTGTACTAAAAAAATAAAATAAAATGAAAGAACGATCATATTTTTCACGCCTACAAATAGAGATCATAACATTTAACATTAAGAACAACTATATCTCACAACATATTTAACAAATATATAACCATGAATAAAAATAATTAACGTGTTATGGGTTGTTATTCTCATATTTATAGTAAAAAGAAGCTCCATTATAAAATATTGATGATATCATTGGGATTCTCTATTGTTGTTCGGTCGTAATAAACGTCAAGATCACCGTTACCATGTATGGTTGAATCCTTGCTCGTCGGACTTCGTTTCACTTGCTCCCAATATAACGAGTGGTTCGCCTACTTTTTTGGTCATATTCTCTACCAGGTTGGCCGGATAAGTTGCTCCGTGCCGCCTGACAATCTTTTTCGCCCTTGAAGGACGATCCTTCGACACGTGCCCTGTTCAAGGTCGTCAGATCTAGTTCAACATACTTTAATCTCACACAAAGATTTATATAAAGATTTAAGGACTAGAAGGTGGGATGTCAAAGGTCTAGAGTGATTAACTCATACCAAAAGAAGTTGAAAAACATATTAAACAAGCTGGCACATCATTCAAATATAAACAGTATAATTATGCGTGCCGATCTTGCTTTACTCCATGACCATAACTATTTTCTTATTCATATACAGAAATGATGCGTTTACTCCACTAAATAAACACATCACTTCATGAGCACCATCTCTTAAACACCATGCACCACCTCAAGTTTAGTCAACCAAGCACAAGCACATGATATGAGTTTCTTAACCTACACCGATGGAACAACTTAACCGAATATATTTTATAAAATAAATAAAGTTGTTAAGTAGTCTCATCACTCTATCAAAGTCCACGCAATAATTATATAAAAAATATTTCTACATTATCTTATATGAATATTTATCCCACATGATTGATATGAGTAGCAGTTAGAATCATTTTAACTTATAAAAGGCATCCCATGTGAACTTCAATCATGAATTTAACCTAACTTTGGAAAAACAATTAAAGTGTTATTAAACTCTTATGATTAGAAAGGACATATCGAGCTTATTAAGAGAGGATTTATTCATAAATTTAGTTGTTTTATATGGGAGAATCGAAGGGGACGCGTACTTCGGTCTGTTGGTTGGCATTCCACAGTATAAGACTCTTCAGGTCGGGGGTTTGAATCCTCTGTGGCACAATTGGCCTTAAGAAGGCGGTACTCGAACTGTTAGACACATTATGAG